TAATAATAAACTGTTAAAACAGGTAAAATAATAGGGGGGCGACGGGGCGCTAGAAACAAAAATGGCATGCGGGCGCTGAGGACCTCAGGAGCGTCCTTGGTAATAATGCATATTAAATTATTATTAATCAAAATTTAATTTAGATATCATAATTACTAAGAATACCAGTTAAAATATGATACTAGATTATCAACATGGGTGAAAAAAATCCAAGGTAATATTGTACCTTTATCGCGGATATAATTTGTTATACCGGCGCTTAAAAGACTACTATAGTGCGGGAATTGAGACTCTTCATTTTATTTAAGGCATTTCTACATTTAACATCGCTCATATTGATGTATAAGCATTTTGGTGTGAAGAGTAATTTCAAAAACAATAATTATTATTTTAGGTAAACGGTAAATATTAGTATAGGATATTAAAAATTTGTGGGTACAGGACAACGTCTGTCGGGTCATCTAGTTATAAATAAATGTAAATGTATATAAAACTACTGCACCGAAATTAATCTTTAGCATACGGAGTTCTAACAAGTGAAGCTTTGGCAGAGCTTTCAATCAAGTCCTGACCCCAGCCCATGAGTAGGGCGAGTGCTGAGCTTTTCGCAACGGATCGATATCATCTATAAGACTGCCGACGCCACAGGCTACATCTGTTAGTCGAATATCAGAGCTTTTCAGGGCTTCCATATTTGTTATTGTATTGTCAATGAAATTCACACATAATATTTATATGATGTCTAGAGGATAGAAACTAGGCGTCGACCAGCACTTAGGAAAATTGATTAAAAACACGATATGAAAATAGATAGTTCCAATCTATTATTGAAAGCATTGTTATACTAAATGAATTGTGATAGAAAGTCGAATGGGGCATACACGTGTTTATTTGTAAAGGTGATTAAAAACGTTGTTAATAAATTAGTGGCTCATAATTGGATTTGTGATACAATATTTGTTCAAGACGCGGTTTATATGCCGTTCAATGGTTCAGGTAATTATTATATTTTTATTAGGTATTAAATAAGTGTTACTTTATTTAGAGCTTGCTAGACCAGTAATTTAGCACAAAGGCATTTAATTGTCGCAATTGATATTTTTAAACATTTAACACATTTATTAAAATCTTTTTAAACTGCTATAGGTTGCAGTATAAAATTAAATTTTTTTCCTATACAGGTAAATCTCAAGTCATTATGTACAGAAGTAGTTTATTTAACTTTTGGGAATATATAAAAAAATATATTATACTTATTATTTATATCAAATGTATAATAGTAAAACACAAATATGCGAGTGAATGCAATAAAAATATTATAAAGAAGTCTAATAGAAGTAACATATAAATAACATTAATATATTTTATTAAATTATTAATAAAACACACATACACAAATATTGATGTGTTTCTATATAAAAATAATATTCAACCAGGATCACATCAAAATAATCAAATTCATAACATAATCCAATAATTAATATATTGAAATGTCAAAGAAAATTTGAGTTTGAAATAATAATAGGGTAATAGATATTCAAAAAACTCATATATATATATATATATATATATATATATATATAATATAATTTCATAACGATTTTAAAATTATCCATAATGTTCGTTGTTTCATTTGTTCAACAATTAATTAATTAGGTTGACAAAAATATCTACATGTGATGATATATTATTTTGTTATACTCTAATGTCAAAGCTGACTTGATCGCCACATCACTCCCCGCATAGTATTATATTTTTTAGATATTTGAAGACATTCTGAGTCTTTAACAAATTTAGTTATCAAAGACATTGAATTTAAAATACCCATAATGTTTGTTGCTTCATTTGTTCAACAATATTGCAGAGATTAAAAAACTGAAATAAAAATTTTGAATCAAAATTGCATCTGTAAATATTTAATTCTTAACAGGTGTTTTAGTTTATCAAAATATGAATCAAAATATGCTTTCGTGCCTTGATACAATTATTATAATTATTTTATTTTTGATATAAATATAGATGATTATTTACAAAACGTACGAACAATTTACTTATCTATTATCATTTGTTAAAAATAGATATTAATGATATATAAAAAAACGCAATGCTTTGTATAAGAAAATAGAATTACCCTCATATCGCTATTGAAACATATATTATTGATGATTCCAAATCGAACACTGATAAACGTACCTATCGATGGTCAAACTTAATTTGGGCAATTAATGGAATTTAGGGCAGGGCTTGGATTAAAAGTAACACAGAAGACAATTAATTCAATAATTCAGTAGGGCAAAAAGTACATAAATGTAAAATTTATAAAAACCAAAAATAAGTCCTGGATTCTTTTTTATAAATTTGTGCATGTTTACTAAACAATAGGCAAAAACAAATAAAAAACAAAATTTATTGAATGTTGTATTTTTTTGCCATTTTTCTAAACTATTTACAATTCAACATTAGGTTTTCTGTGAGTCAAATCGAGAAGCGCAGATCACATTATCAATATCCGAATATGTGTCCTTATAATTTAATTCTAAAACTAATAATTTTAGAGAGCTTTTCATAATAATTTAATCTCAAAACTAATAATCTTAGAGAGTAGCTTATAATAATTTAACTTCAAAACTAATAATCTTAGAAAACTTTTTAAAACGTTTATATAAAAATATCCGTTGTATTCAAAGGATGCTAATATTTCTAAGACCAACTACGACAAAAACATCTATTTTTTCTCGATATTTAGACAAATTAGAATTAGTTCTAATTATTTAGATTCTGATGCATTCACATATATTAATTAATAAATTATACTTAAAATTATGTAAGTTAACAATCAATGTGCTTTACAACAAATCATAGCACAAAAATTTAAGTTAAGTTTTAATTGTTATATTTACCTCTAATTAAAAGTTCTGAATTTCTATTGCTGAATCCGATATTCTGTATCCAACCCCCACAAAAGTCTATAATTATGGAGAATGCTTACATTTTTTGTTTTGGTAGAAAAGATACTACAAGTCACATGTCCTTTCTATAGAAAGCAGTGCTATAGTAAAATTCTAAATTATGAATAACATAAATTTAATAATTGTTTAACCATGATAATGTATGAATATTTTAAATATAAACCAAAGTGACCATATCTTTGATATGAAGTATGTGATTAATATGATTAATGTCACAGTTCTGGATGAGTTTAAAACAAAAGAGGTATATGTTCTGATCTACAAATATATGCCATGGCAAACTTTATAATAAATTGAATTTAATATATTACCAATTTTATATAGGTACTTTCTACTTTTTATATATTTAGAATGAAGAATGAAGTAAAGAATATAAAAAAGAAAAAAACTTTTTTTTTTCAAATAAAAACCATGAAAATTTATATTATTATAATAAAAATTATAATAAATAAATTAGTTTTTATTCAAGTAATGTCTATTTATTGTATTGCTACATTACAAACTATAATAAATATTGATTAACCATTAAGGTATTACCACAAAATAATTACATTCTAAGAAAATGTTTGTCTTAGCTCCATCATTAATTAGGTTTATTTATAGTGACAAATTTAGTTATAGACATTGAATTTAGTTTTTGCAAAAATGTTTAAATTATTATAACATTTAATATTATGGTTATTTTCGAAATACGTTTTTTTTCGAAATATGTAAGAATTTTACTAATATTTTGAAAATTTAATTTTTAGTTTTGCATAGGATTTGTAATCGTCACTATGAATTATTTTCAACAATTCCTGCATTTTGTCAAAAATATTTTTCTTAATTTAATACAAACTTATGTAGCTTTTTGTTTGAAGCTCATAATACACTCATGATGTGTATTCTATTAAACCGATTGTTTTGCATTTATAAATACATACGTTTTTTGATATCAGTGCCATAGTTTTAGTATTAATTGTATTAATACTAAAATCGTTATATCTGAAAATAAATTTATCAAATTTTAATGACAAAATATAATTAATAAGAAAAAATATAATTTATAGTTAAGTAGATTGCGTAAAAATTTAATAGATCGTTAATAGTACCAAATATAAATGTAAATTTTAATGAAAATTACTTTATAAGACATATTACAAATATCTCCTTGAAATGCTACTTGTAAAACTGCCAGCAAATATTTTATTTGCTCTGCCAAAAACTTCATGCTTTATGGAAGCAATTTATTGATCAACACATTGGTATTATAAAATCACTTTCTGGTTTTAAGATATATTTATTATAATACTAATTCTCAAATAATATTAATAAAACATATATTGTCCTAAATATTTAAGCTAATAAAGTATTATAATTTTTTTATAGATCACATGCATAATAAACATGTATTGATTTAAATCAGAAGAAATTAGTTAGATATATTATTAGTCATTTTCGTTGGATGAACGAGTTGATTACAAATTACAAAATTCAGAACTTGTTTTTTTTGCAGAGCGCATGGCGTCTTCGGAATTTGAGTATAGCTAGCGTTTTGGTGTTAACAATATCAAATATTTTCTTAACTGTTCGACTGATACAACATTCCGACTGCCCTCGTCTGTCGAGACCTATCCAACTCATAAGACCTCTAAAATTAGATCAACAACTACAAGATTCGATGCGAAACCCCAAAACAGAGATAAATATCCAAAGGTAAGATATACCAAGAAAATTGATCGATGATATGAATTCAAAAAAAAAAAAAAATAGTGCATTTATTTGAGTAAATCAACCCTTTGTGCACAATCTCAATTAAGCAAATGTTAAACTCCAACTCGATTCAGGGAAGATGAAGTGTGAAGATTTACCCATTTTCATTTCACAAAGCAGTGCCCAAAATGGGCTAATTTTCAATTGGAAACATATTTTGATATATATTTTCAAGTGAAAATAGACATGTATATATATATTCATTAAGCACATTTAAAAACAGTTAAAATCATCACAATTTTGTTTTAGTAGGTCGATAGTGAATCGGAAACCAACCAACCACGATGAAGAATACATGACAACGCCTTTAAATGAAACCGAAATGGATGATATTGTCAACTACCCTTTTTCTGAAGTAGATTTAAGACTTGGTCGATGGGATGCACGAAGAACTTACAAAATATTTGATTATGTACAAGTTGGTGACAAATTTATTCAGTTATCACAAGATTACCAAGTTTGTTTGGCAACTCAAAGCTCAGTTGACAGGATGCATTCTATAGTAGAGGTGAGATCTTTAACTTATATAAATATATAGATAAATCTAAAATTTCTTGAAATATCTGAAAATTTTTAAATTTATTTAAAAAGTTGAATTTGGTTAAACTTTTTTAAATATACTGTGTTTGAGTAGGTATTTGTATATGTAAAGTGCGGTGGACCGACATGGGCCACAGGTTGGAGTAGGCCACCCAAATAACTATATGACTAGTGATATGTACAAATATACAAATCATTATACAGACATATAATCTTTGAAATGCAAATTGATCTTTTCCAATTGTTACATTGTGTTTTTGTGGGATGCATATGCAAAAAAGGCGAAGAGCACACGCTTTGATATTTTATTCATTTGCCATTCAAAAAAGAGATACTTCCAAGCATAATTGCAAGCATCTGCTATGATAAAAAGTTGCATTTTAGAGTACCCTTGCAACTACAAAAAACATTAAGAAAATAATATCATTTTCAACAATTTTACAACCAAAAATTAAAACGTGGTCCACTTCTGTCACAGAACCCTATACTATGTTCATAGTGCGATTTAACCAATATCAATACCCAGGGGCGTAACTACCGCCGTATCAGCCGTATCAAAACTACGGGGCCCCCAAACCAGGGGCGCCCCCAACGAACGCAAACAGAAAGTAAAACAACTGTTCGCGCCAATCAAAGCATGCGGCTATATTGATATATAAACAAAAAATCATCTATCAAAAATTTATACAAATCAATCAATCAGTCAGAACGTAATCAAAAACAGTATTAAAATTATTGTAAATATACTTATAACTTGTTATTAATATAAAATAAATATATACAGTTATAATCAAAGTATTTACAATTGGTCCTTCATAAGGCAAGCAATCACAACATCCTAAAATTTTTCATTGGCCCTTACGAGCCGAATTTAAACATCCTAAATTTTTCATTGGTCCTTCGAGCCGGATGTGACGTCCAGCAATCGAAGGAGAAATCAAGCATAAACCAAGTAAATCAAGATTAAATAAAGAGGAAGTTCAAAATCAAGATAAGAAGTTCAAATTTGGAGCTACAGCTACAAGCACAAGCAAAGCAAGAAACCAGGTTATTCAATTACATTTCCTTCTTATCAATCTTTCCTTATTCAATTAATAAAGTTTAGTACGATCTGTGACAAGATGGAATCGTTAATAACTTTAAAATCACTCAAAACAAAGCAACTAGAAATTCAATCGCAATTAGCATATTGCGAAAAGATTTGCAATCAATGGTCACACATGCCTGTGTGTGAATTGAATATTTCTGAAATAAGCCGTTTTAAAGAATATGTAAGACCTAATTTTGACTTATTTGAAGATACGGTTATCAAAATAGCAACTTTACTTGATGATGAAGAAGAAATTGATAATTTATTTGATAACGAATTAGAAGAGTTTTTTGATAAATACCAAAAATGCTTGACAACATTATCAAAGCTTAGATTAGCAGCATTGAATAAATCAGATACTAGTTCGGAATTCAATTTAAATTATACCAAAACAACAAATAATGCAGATAACATAAAACAGCCTCAATTTTATTTACCTCAATTGAACATTTCTAAATCAATTTCGGTATCAAATCATGAATCTAACTTAGAAGCTCAAGTAGATATATCTTCAGAAATACGCAAACCATACGACGATAAACAATACTTTACTGAAACGGAAAAACAACGCGAAGAGCATTCTATTACTAATACAACTAAGACTATTGACGGAAGTTTTGGTACTATAATTCAATTTGCAAAAAATATCAAAGACATAGGATATAGTAGGCAAGAAACATTAAAACGTCATATTTCATTTGCAAACAGAAACCAATTCACCGAATATGATAACTTCATAAAAGCAAGCATACCTAAAATAAGTTTATACTCACCTCATTCAGACGTGTTAAAGTCGATCAATTTAACAACTAATTTTCGCGTAATTTTGGAAGCACCTTGTAAATCCGATACAAGTCTGCTGTTAACTGAGCTACAACTTGTCAGACCGAATATCCGAAACGAAATCTGTTTCATTAAAACAAATTTTAAAATTTATACTTCAATACTAACGGTCGATACAAAGAGAGTGATCGAACAAGTTTTAGTTCAGATAAACGACAGAAAGATTAACCAAACAATTCGGGGAAAAACCTCCAATAACAACATAAACATGAATCAACAACATACGTTCTTATCAATACGATGTTCAGAAGAATCACCTAAACAAAGCATAACTGAACATCTAAAAATATTCGAAATCTCCAGAAATTATTTTAACGTTAATAGTTCATTAACTACAGCTGATACAATAATGAAATTTTTTATTAACAACCTCACTAACATTTTAACGCAAGCTAAACTCAATCTTTATGAATTGAATTCTAACCATTCAAAACTTTTCTTTCCAACTCCAAATCGTCTAAGCATGAAATTACATATCTATACATATAGCGCGCGAATGAATGTGTTTTTCACTTCAAATTCTAGCTATAAAATAAAATTGATAGTGGAAAAGTCTAGAATAGCACTATCAAAACACATAGCATTCTTATACCTCAAACTAAGTGAGGTACAATTATTAAAAATTCTTGCGCGAAAAATGAAACGGGCATTAAGTATCGCGTTTGATAAAAAATTATATTGGAGCGATCTTACTATCACTCTAATATGATTAAAATCTCTATTTTTATAAATATAAAATCGCTTTTGCGAATATATTTTATTTATTCAAAACAGAAATGTATGCAAAACTACTGGTTACGTACAATTTATTAAAATCATTGTAGTATACTAAAGCTTTGCAATGCGCCAAGGTCCACCTTGACTTCTAACTAAAGACTGCATCGCACGATTAACAATTTTGCAATTTTTGCGATTGAAATATGAATCTGAATTGCAAGTTTAGCATGTACTCATTAAACTGGTACGTAATATGAATCTCAACTTTGTTCAAATACTAAAATGACAAAGAACAGAACATCACAGAGTTTATTAATGATTAACAAAATGAATAAATCACTTAATAAATTGATAAAATCAAAACAAGTCATGACAATCAAGCAAAACATCCTTAACTTAAGTACGCATTAACAAACCATTGCAAAAAACATTGGTTCTAACAATCAAGCAAGACATACCTAACTTAAGTACGCATTAACAAATATTTAAAACTAAAGACATTTACATCATTCTTAGGTGAAATGGAATTTTGCACGTTGGGGTTCAAATCAAAACTCAAACCTAAAACTTTAACTTATTACAAATGTCACCCCATAGCGCTGTCCAAAAATCCATTCATCTATCAATTATCGATACCATACCTACACATGTGTATTTAAATATTATATCTTTACTACTTATATTTGTTAACAAGATTAAATGAAAAAATGGAGGCTTTTCTATGTTATTTTATCGCATGTCTCTTAAACACAAGATATAATGAATATAGTATTATATTCGAACTAATATCTGATTTAGCGACAAAATGGTTGATGCATAAATCTTGCAAAATTTATTCATAAAACAAAACAATAAGATTTGCTATGAAATGTTATAAACTTTTGCAAATAAATCGAACTAAAACAAGATTACGAATAACATGGAAAAAGAAACTATATCGTGGAATCATATTCAATCATGGCTTATATTTCAAACCTCAAATTATTCACACTTCGGAAGAATTCAGACACAGATCGGAACATAGTTGAATATTGCTTAAACTCCGATACAAAAGATACTGATCACTTCCATATTCAAAAATCTTAAACCTCAACTTCAGCAACTTCAAAACACAAGAGCATGTGGAATATGGAGTCAGAATATGCAAACTTTTTTTCGTCTGCAAATGCAACCATAATATTCAGTTTAAGGAGAAAATGTCACAGTGCTCCTATAAGACAATTTAGAGAATACTGAACTAATTATTACTGATTGGTCTTATAGCACTTAAAAAAAAAGAAAAGATAAACTATGATTTCCAATAAGAATCAAGAAATGCAGTTCATTAAATTTGAGTGTTACCAAAACCACTAACATCTACTTAATTAATTCACATTAATGAAGATTACCAATTATTTTGAAATCTATATTTCAAGGCCGGGAGAATGTTCGCGCCAATCAAAGCATGCGGCTATATTGATATATAAACAAAAAATCATCTATCGAAAAATATACAAATCAATCAGATCAATCAACGCGTAATAAAATCATATTAAAATTATTATAAATACAATGTAATTTATGTAATTAAAGTAAAATAAATATTACTAGTTACAAAATCAAAGTATTTTCAATTGGTCCTTCAAAAAGCAAGCAATCACAATCAATTCCTAAATTTTTCATTGGCCCTTACGAGCCGAATTTAAACATCCTAAATTTTTCAACAACATTTAACAATATAATATATATCATTTAAAAAAATGAATAATTTTAACTTCAACATGTAAGCTAACGTTTTAACAGAATTTATTTTTGCTGCAATATTTTTGCAATCACTAGCAATCAATTCATTTAATAAAGTTTTTGCACATTCGAAAAGCTAATATTCTTGTCAACAAATCTATAAAATTAATCCAGATGGATTGCAATAACTATTTCAAAGAACAAAAGACAAAAGATACTGAAGCGTTATTATGATGAGTTATCACAAGTTACTATGATGAGTTATCACAAGATGAGAGAATTTTGGATCCGAAATCTTATTTTAATGTATACTATTGCTGTTTGGATATATCAATTTCACAAACCAAACAAAGATTTCAAAAACTTTGCGACGTAAATAGTAACATTTGTCTTTTTGAAATGGAGAATAAATAAACGTTTCCGGAAATCTGTCGACTGAATTACTGTACAGAAATACTATCAAAATATCTCATAAGATCATGACCAATTGATGGCTCTAAAAATAGGTTTGAATTCAAAAATTTAAGAAATGTGATGGATGCATCCAGTTTCCCAACGAAATAACAGCGTGCATTTTTTCTTGGCTCCTCCTTTTCTTGAAACAAAATAAAAATTATGTAAAATTTAAAGATCATTAAATAATTTAATTTTTCAAAAAAATTCAAAGAAAGTGAATATATCTGGAATAATTTGTGAAAAATTCAGAAAATGAGATAAAATTGGATAAATAAATAATAAGAATGATAAATAGATATTCTTTCAATTTTATGAATTTTTATATTTTGTAAAAAAAAATTCTTCTTGAAGGGGACCACTTTTGATACGGGGCACAGCCAAGGCACGCTACGTCCCTGCCAATACCAATAAAAATGGCAGAAAATTCATAAAATGAACAAAACTATAATTACATATATACTCGTGAAATTCAAAGTCTGACCCAAAAAGCTTTACGAATTTAATATAACTTCAGTGTATCTTATGTCTCTAATTATTATCAATAATCTATATATATATATATATATATATATATATATATATATATATTACAACTAATCATATTTTCTTTTACTAGCTCTCTGACCAATGGGCAGGACCAATATCCTTATCGCTATTTGTGTCAGGATCAGATGAACTTCGAATTTTGCAGATCTTCGTGAACCATCTACGGGCGTGTCATCCTAATCTAAGGGACAGGGTTACTATGCATTTGGCAATACCTGGAGATAGAACGCCCGCAGATGGTCGCCCACCATTACAAGGTAATTAACTTTATATTTAATCCCAATTTAATGTGAAACAAATCATTATAATTTTATTTTGTTCAGCCGTAGATCCTGTCGAGCTATTCGAAGACTGTTCAATAAAACCGGATGAATATCTCAAGCGTATTATGAAGACTTTAAACCCAGAAACTGAAAAATGGCGTATAAAAAACCCGTATCCCCAAAATCACATGAGGAACATAGCTAGGAAAGGATGCCAAAATGGATATGTGTTCATGACTGATGTTGATATAGTTCCCAGCAATGGATTTGCTGAAAGTTTAAACGAATTTTTAAAAAGACCTAATTGTACAGGACAATGTGCGTATGTGGTTCCCACGTACGAATTGGATATTAGAGTAGAATTTCCTAAAAATAAGGCTGACTTGTTAAGATTAGCAGCAAAAGGATTAGCGAGGCCTTTTCATCACAAAATATTTATATACAATCAGTTTGCTACAAATTTTACTAAGTAAGCTTTTGATCACTAGGTGATTAATTGTATTATACAAACTTTAATAATACATTTTTATAATGTTTTAGGTGGCAAGCAGCAAAGGTTGAAAGTAACAAAACTCATGTTAGTCATGTAGTTACAAATTTTGAATTTTTATATGAGCCTTTTTATATTGCGCCAGATACAGTACCTCTGCATGATGAAAGATTTGTAGGTTACGGATACACAAGAAACACGCAGGTAAAATATAATCATTAATTTTGCAATTTGTAATAAAGAATAATTCTTGAAAAAATTCTATACAGTTCAGCAAGAATACTTTCTTATCATTCTTTGTCAACTCATATTCATATTTTTTATGATACAATAACAAATCTCTCTTAAAATTTGCTATTGAGCTTTGCTTTTTCTTCATATTTAAAAAAATGTTTAATTAATCTTGTTATATATATTCATGCATTTATTTCATATTTCATTAGTTTAGTATAATAACTATCATTTTCAAGGTATACGAAACATATGTAGCTGGCTACCAGTTCGTAGTCCTATCTCCAATTTTCACCTGCCATTGGGGCATGACAAATCGACGGACCCGTCCCGCTTGGAGGGAAAGGCAGAATTATTTAAATCGAAGACATTTCGAAGTATTCAAAAGAGAGGTATTTGCAAGGTACCATAAAGACCCTTTAAAAATGATGCAACCCAAACGACCCCAACAGCAACAGCCGGTTATCAAAGTTTTATGAGGACATTAGAAAATATGGAATCGGTATAAGTTTGAGAAGTCAGGATTTTTATTATTTTAGAAGTTTAAATTTGAAAGATTTAGATTTCAAAAATGAAAATGATATTTTTATACTTTAGGGCTTGAAATTTTTTACATTAAGCAAATATTTGAAAGACGAAAATTTTTTCTTACAAACTGGTGTAATTGTGTGGAATTACACACAAAGGACGTACCAGTGGTACTTTTGTTGTTTTATATCATTTAATAAATAGTACATTTGATTTTTTTTAGAAAAAAGAATACTCTCAAGTATATACATATATATATATATATATATATATATATATATGATTTTATTTCATTATGTAAATTATGATATTTCAATGCAGTATTTTGACATGAAAACCCTATAAAACACTTGGCAATCACAAATAATCGAATGGTTTTCAATTTTCAAAATATAGTTTTGTTTAACAATTAAATATTGAGGCCACAATTTTATACAACACATACACATATATATAAATATATGTATATATATATATATAAATATATATATATATATATATTATATATATAAATAAATAAATATATATATATGTGTGTGTGTTTAGTATATTGTTAATATATTCATATAGTGGATATTCATATATAATAATAATAAGCAATTATTTATTACTTGAGTAATAAATAATTGCTTTCCTGATGATTGTTTAGATGTTAAATTCGAATATGTGAAATTAAATGATCTGTTTAATTATATGTAATTATGTGCCCAAACAAAACAGCATTATAAAAAGCACATTGATAATATAAACAAATTTTTGAAAATTTCCTCAATTCTGCCTCTGAAACAGAATATAACTGATATGAATAAATATAAAAAATAAAGCATTATATTTTGCTATTAGTTTTAGTACGTTTTAGATTTTTTTTTTAAAATATTAGAAAATGATATAAATTGTATTAATTGAGATGTGCCAACAATTCGTAGAGAAAAATTGACCAATCGCAAAAGGTGCATTTTAACAATAACAGTTTAATAATACGCTGTATGTAAATAAGTGTCTTTAAACAAATAAGAAAATAGACTAATAATACAATGTTTTGTGAGTATTGACTTCATTAGACAAAACAAATATGATAATCAAATTTAATAATTATTATTGTTTCTAATTTTATCTATCATGTTCCAAAAATTTGCCAAAATTTACTAAAAATAAACAAACATTTCTATTTGGACATTATTGCTATGCTATATTTAAATATTATTTTTAATTAATGATTTAATTAAGGATAACATTTTCCTAATCTGGTTATTGTTCTTAATCATTTGTGTTCATCATAACTACTTACTTGAATATTTTTGGACTGTATTGTAATAGCATTTTACATGCAATAGAACAAATATTAATATTTTTTATTCATGAATAATAACACATTAAAGAGCTCTATTTTACATGTATAATGGTTTGACAAACTTTCGAAAGCGAAAATATTTATATAAAACTAGGATTGGGACAAAAATGCAATAAACGAACTCAAAGGTAGTGTGAGGTAAATCTGGTAAAAATTGATAAAGAGCTGCCTAAAATAATTTTATGAGGTTCTACTATTATTCTACTGGTTTTCCTTGGCTAGTCAAACAAATGGCAAAATCAAAAACAGATAAATTTTGTTTGGCTAAATGTTTCTTACAATTTGAACTGATTAATCGTTAAAATGCTGTTAGTTTTAAACTGAAAGCTATATTAATATCTTAAAATATAAAATCTTGTTATGAAGCACCATAATGTTGTAACATGAAATGTACATAAAAATTGACGTTAGAGCACAATTGAGTTATATGTGTGAAATATGTATGAAATATAGAAGTGTATATATTCACTGATGTTCAGATAATATTATGTTATTTTTGCCATTTTATTTTAAGTTTAAAATATTGGCATCAATCAGACCTGGTTCAATGGAGAGACATATTCCATTAAAAGTAATATTAAGTTTTATCATAAATATTTGATATTAACAAAATTTCCAAACAATATAATTTAAAATTGCAACGCGATTTACACACCGTTTACCAAACCAACCGCTTCTGGAATATAAATCTTTATTAGTTATATTATTTTATATAAGTAAATTAATTGTTATGTAGTATGAGCAAAAAATTACTAAGACTTCATTTCTTATATGATAAAATAATGAGAAATATACAAAAATGTCAAGACACGAGTGTCAAAAAATTTTGAGAGCAATGATGTACATATATTTTCAGAGTGTTGTATTTATATATGTTGCCACAATAAATGTTTAATTACTGTATATTTAGTTTCCATAATTTAATATAATTTTGTTTGTTAACGCAATTTTTGGTATTCATATTCATAGAAAATATTGAAATTTTAGTAAGTTTTGAGTAAAATTTGCTCTTCAGAACACTTCTTTTCCAATAGATATAATTATGATTTTGCGCCCTTAAGACTATTTGTTAAAACCGTCTTATTTACAAATTTTAGAGTAAAAAAAGTCGTAAATATATTGAAATTTTATATCCACATTAAAAACAGCACTAAATTATAACTGTTATTTATTTTGTGCTTTTGTTTAATATTTGTTTGGGCCTTTTTTAACCATTTGTATATAACTTTACTAAATTTTCTTACATGGTTCTCGACACTGTTTCAAATACCGATTAAATATAAAATAAATTGTTTTTTGTTGACAGTTATAACATCATTCAATTTTTTTATATTTTGCTGATTTTGACAGTTGGCGTCGAAATGACAGTGATTCTTGCAAAATTACCAAGAGTTAAAATTAACATTTTGAAGCTTGTGTAATCAAGAAATATGCACTACCTGAAATATCTAAAAGAAAACCAAGAATTTATAGTCTTGATAATTTGTTCTACATTTTCTCTTAACACCGGTTAGATCTCGTATAAAAGGTTTCAATCATAAAATGAAAGGTGATAATGTACTTAGCCCTCATAATAAGCGTGATGTCCAAAAATATGACGAAAGTAAGGTTGAAACTCAAAAGGATAAAATTATTGATTACTGTGGAAATTACGTAAGTAAGTAATTTTATATGTTTTTTATACAAACGACATGAAATGAACGAAACATGTACAAAAATACAACAGTTTCTTATTCCAGGCGGAATTTTAGTCGTTTTTGCCAGCGAGCCTCTGGATACAATCAAAGTGCGAATGCAAACTTTTCCAACAATGTACAAAGGCATGGCCGACTGCTTTCGCAAAACCATCAAGAGAGACACCAAGACAGGTCTATTTGCTGGCACCACTCCTGCTATGGTAGCAGGTCTTCTGGATAATACAATATCCATGATTGGATATGAGACGTTCAGAGTCATATTATTGACTTTATCTGGAAAAAAATTGTCAGAAGAACTAAGTTTATCTCAAAGAGCTGCAGCTGGATGTTTAACTGCTGGCGTTTCGTGTCTTTATTTATGTCCAATGGATTTGCTTAAATGTCAATTGCAGGCATGGCGAGATATAAGAGATATGCATTCCAGAGCTGGTCTTCAAATACAGGTAAGAGGGCGTCTATTAATCACGTCAGCGAGTTTTTCAGGATTTTTGAATCCCCAACCCCCTTGGTGATACATGGTGATATTCAAAATTATCCCTCCTTCCCCACCAAACACCACGTGTATTTTTAGTTACGTGATAAAACTGTAAAATTGTTTAATTCTTTTCGAAAATGTTTGATTTTTTTTAAATCAGTTAAAAAATAAATACACGTGATATTTTACTATACTCCTCCCTCCCCCACGTGATATTTTGTGATTTTTTGTCAAACCTCCCTCCCCCTAAAAACCTCACATGATTAATGGAGCCCCCTAAACAAGCTTAAAGTTTTTATTATTGTTTGCAGAAATTATGATCTTGAATGTTTAAAAAATGTCTATGATTCAAATATTTTTAAACTATCCTTGTAGCGAAGTTTTGATTTGTTTTCAAGCAAACGTATTTTCCTTTATATATTTTGTCTATTAACTGATTTTATTTTCATGCAGGATATAAAACCATGGAAGTTAATGAACTTAATAGTAAAACAGCATTCATATAGAGGTCTTTACTGCGGTTGGAACATTACCATGGCTCGAGAAGTACCCGGAAGTCTAATCTTCTTTGCTGGATTAGATGGTTTTAAAAAATTATTAGCCAGCCCAGACGAAAATCCAGAAGAATTGAATATTCTGAAAAATATGGTAGCTGTTTCTGTTGCCGGGTGCCTCTTGTGGTTGGTAATTTATCCTATAGATGTAATTAAATCTCGGGTTCAAGTTATGACTAGCAAAAAGACTGTCAATGATGTTATTTTTGATATGGCAAAAAGAGAAGGTACGAGTTTCAATCTCATTTTAAATTTTTTTTTTAGTTTCTAATTAATTATAAATATATTGCAGGTCTTTGGACATTTTATAATGGATTGAAACCGACATTAGTGAAAACTATAGTTGTAACAGTGGTACTTTTAGCAACTCATGAATCTACAAGACAGTTTTTATATTATATGTTTCCTTGAATTTTTGTACTTTTATATTTAATTGAATAAAAGTTTCAGTCTGGCATATGTATTCGAACTTGATATTTTGAATGTATGATGAACATAAAATTACGGATTAATGAAATAAAATATATTGGAAAGAAACAGACTTAAATTGATCGTTAACAAAAAAAAGTATTAACAAAAATATTAATAATTTTTTTAGCTGAACATTAATTTATAAAAATTAATATGACGAATTGAGATAGAAACGTTCTGCAAAAAATTCTTATACTGAACAGTGAAATCTAAATATTTTAGATCTAATAAATATAAAATAAATTTTTAAATTTATTACATTGAATGTATAATCAACTTATAAAAACTTTTAATTCTTAATTAAAATAAAAAATCATTGACGTAGTTCTGTATCATAATGAACTTATATGGTTCTTAATTATTTCCGCATACATGATCAATAACAAATTCAGCTCATGTTTTGCATCAGCTTTTAATCCTTTATTATTTTATTGCCGATAAAAAAGCAAAATAAATTTTATTATATTTTTGTAAAAACCGTGATTTGAGAATTATTCTCGTACAGCAAACAATTTTGTGATTGACTCACTATCTGCTATTGGAAAGTCATATAAATCGCTTTTTAGATAATCAAGACTTTTTAGTTGATCAACAACAAACGGAAGCTCTATCTAAATGTTGATTTAATTGCCTATTAATGATTAGTAGTCGACTTTGTATTTTGCAAATATATCAACAATAAGTATTGATACTACAATGTTAGATTCTGAAAATATTCAATTCATAAACATAGCAGAATGAGGAAGAAATCTTATAATATACTCTTTTACACATCCTGCTATTTTGTATGTAATTGTTGACGATTCAATTAGATTAAACCAGGGCTGCAGTTAAAAAAAATTTATAAATATTATCCAAAAAGAAATTTTCAAAATTTATAAATATTTTTTTCATCGAATATTAACCCGTACCATTAGTTTAATTTGATTTTTTTTTCATTATTATTTAATTTTTTAGCGTTATTAAAAATTTCTCAAATCACTTCGGAGATGAACACTATACTTATGGAGATTGATACAAAAATTAACATCACGCAAATTTTAAACTGTATCACTTGAAGCATTTGACGACATTCAAAACGTTATCCACTTCAGAATATAAATTGAATTTACAACATTCAATATAACAATATTTGCTATGTCATACGATTGAGCTCTCATTATTCATCCATTTAAATTGCCCTTGAAATATTTTTTATTAGAACTTATAACAAGATAGCTCACCATATTCATAACATTATATAATATAATAAATATGATATTTTTTTATATTATCGTTGGTATTTATGTTTTGACTTCTCTCAACCAAAGAAATAATTTGGAATATATCCGACTTTATTTCACCTTGACCTATATATGTAGCAGAAAGCATTATATATCTGTGAGTATAGATTTGTGGAATCTATTATCAGCATTATTTGATATTACTTAAATTAAATATTTTATAAACTTCAGATTTTTTTTTGATAAATAGATAGATACATAGATAGGCTAAGAATGGTTGATGAAAATAGGGAAAATGATTTATAAAATAATTTATATTAAAAATATTTTTTTAAAAAAATGCATATTATTTTTAATAATAAATAAATTGTGAAAAATTTATATATAATATATATTCAGCTTTTCAATAATTGCTCAACTTGTTTTTAAGTTAAAAAATGTTTCTATGTTTGTTATTGATTCAATATCAAATATATTTATTGAAGCACCCGACGTGTGTTTATAATTAGATATTTAAAATTGGAACATCAAACTTTCCTATCTATTATTTTTATTTTCCAAAGGTCAAATTTTAACTGAAAAGATTCAGAATAACTTGATACGTCGAGAATACATGAAATTAGTAATTTGCGCAAACATAAACCTTTTTTCGGAAAGTTACATCGCCAAAAAGGAAATTATTTAGAACTTATGGTTTTCAATACGTTTCGTCATGTTATTTTATATAATTAGTGAATGAATAAATTTAAAATAAAATTATGTTACAAATATCAATTTAAGTCGTACCTGTGCGAAATTCTTTATTCGTATCGGTTTAAAACAGAACGTGTTATAGATTTATTTTGATAAACGCGAAGAACTTATGCATAAATACAATATTCCAACGTTTTTGCTTGAAATAACAACACCAAGTGGACGTAATCTATAACTAGGGTTTATCTTCAGAAACAGTTCCATCTCCATTCTTAAAGCTCCATCCTTAACAAAAATTTGAAATTACATTCGTTACTTTTTGAGTTTATTATTTATGTTGTTTATTTTAACAAATTAAAATTACTATTAACAAAAATTTGAAACTACATTCGATACTTTTTGAGTTTATTATTTATATTGTTTATTTTAATTGTCATGCTTAACTTAAAATAACTATTGTACTGTATTTATTCGATATTTTTCATATTTATCAAAAAAACTTCATAACACTGGTATCAAATTTTCAAATGAGGTAGAACTCACACTGAATTCTATACAGTCGTTTAGTAGTAGATGCTAAACAAAAAATAATTTTGTTAAAAAAAAATCTATTTTAGTTCACGTAATTCATAAGCCACCTAAATAAAGATTAAGTAAATGCAATTTATATTTCCCGAAAGAGTAGTCGTGAAAGAATCTGATTTGCATTTTTATGTTTTAAGTCATTCTTAATGAGACTGAATTTGGAAAAAGTATGTGTGTGAGCCAATGTTTGACCGTTCGTGGAAGTTTTCTCAAAAAATCAATCTCAAAAATTTAAAAGCTATTCGATGTAACTCGATCAGAACTAGTGTTGGTCAGTTTTGCGCGATGATCGACCAAGCCCTTGCTTTGTAATATTGTAATTAGTCCAAGTGTTAGTCCACAATCTCAAATCAATTCTAAAAATTCAAAAATTGATCTAAAGATATTGGTTGGGAATCGCGTTGAATATTTGTTAAATTTTTAAAAAAGGTGTTTTGATGATGTTGATAAAACTTTGTATGACGATAGTTTCCGCAGTCTGAAAAACTAGGAAAGTCAATTCAACTTGTCTTAAGACAACACGTTACTTACAATTGAGTAAGTAGCTGTTGTAATTGCACTAAATATGACATCCTTAGAGGGTACCAGTTACTCTATGTATTGTGGGGGGTACTATCTTACCCAATGTATGTTTTAGTTTCTTTTTTAATATATATTACAAATATTGGAAGCAGAAGTTCAGAAAGGAAAATATATGAAATAAGAAAAAGGGGAGGGGGAATAGTAGTAATGAGCCGAAAGGTAAGAGAATCAATTATTTGTGGTGGTTCTCACAACATGGACCTGTCTTCGGGCAGACTACCATTTATTATTAACTTCCCGTAGGGCAAGTTATAGTAATCGCAAAAAAATCGAAAATGAAAATTTTATATATCTTTACGTTTCAAAGGTTTCTGAATATTTGTGTGTGTGTGTGGGTGTGCGTTTGTGTGTGCTGATACAAATTTTCGTCGACGATTTCGGGAACACGGATCAATCGATTTGAATAATTCAAAAAACATTCGATTCGTATTGATAAGGAGACGTGATTGATTGAGACAGGTCTAGCCGTTCCGAAAATACGGGGCAAAAAGAGAACGGAGCAGCCGATTTTAATAATTCAATACATTTACTTGTATTTACAAGATAAAGAATTGGTCAAAGGCAGGTCTAGCGGTTTCGGAGTACTAACGAAAAAAGTAAAAAATGCCATTTGGCGGTCAAAAATGATTATTAGACATAATGATTATTAGACATCAAATTATCAGATATTTTATAGAGATTATAATAATGAGTATAAATTTTGTTTACATTCTTATGGGTTCCGTACCAATGTTTATCCATTAGACGGCGACGCGGCGCTTACGCGCTTCGATATTTCGTCTCTATGCAGTTAAAGCAGTACGATTGCTTTGAAAAAAAGTTCAGAATTTTCAAAATATGTCAAAAAAATGAAAACATTTATTTTTCAAAAAAAAAAATTGTTTTCAAAAAAAAGTAATTTTTTGTCAAATTTATAGTTTCTCAAAAATCTAATTTTTTCGAAGTAATTTTTTTTCAACAATGTTAATCTTTTTAAAAAATAATAATTTTTGGTACGGAAAGTACCAGCAATTTGCCTTAAGGCAAGATGTCGTGCGCCCCACTAGTTTAATATATATTAGAAATATTGGAAGCAGAAGTTCAGAAAGGAAAATATATGAAATAAAAAAAGGGGAGGAGGAATAATAGTAATGAGATGAAGGGTAAGACAATCATTTATTTGCGGTGGCTCTCACACCATGAACCTGCCTTCGGGCAGACTACCATTTATTATTATTATTATTATTATTATTATTATTATTATTATTATTATTACAATATATGATTTAATATCTTAAAAAACGAGCAAAAAAGGTGGCCAACCCTACACAGTGTCATCGTATCGAACGGCATGCGTACATTCAAAATAGAAACAGTAGTGCCGCGCTGCGCGACGAGCAAGCGCGCGTGTTCAATTCAAGATATTTAAAATTTAAATGACTAAACATGATTATTCATTAATAATGAACAAACGGTGAACAGTGAAGACTATAAAGTGTAATTTATAAAATATATTTGAAGTTATTCTTAACCTTGAACGTGACACCATATAAAATAAATATATAAGTGATAAATAGAGTGTAATAAGATTTTTCTCTATGTTTTTACCTAAATAAAAATAAAGATGATGTGTTTTGTTTCATCATTATCAAAAGGTTTCTGTGTCAAATGCGCAAACGTATCAGTGTATTAACGTAGATTCACATTTCAGATTGATGTATTACTCAATCATAAGAATCACATTATTATCCAATTTATTTTAGTTCATAGTGATATCAGTAATGCTTTACTTCCTAACCTAAAGGTAGTGATAATGCACATTATAAATGCAAACACACAAACACACACATATATATATATATATATACATATAATATATTATATATATATATATATATATATATATATATTTGACTTTGAGCAATTATATTATGAAAACCAAGCCAATTATATCACAACAAATAACACATAAACAGTAAATCTTCTAGTTCTAGTTAATTCATCATTGTGAAAGTATGTTTTTTCCTGTTTTTCAAAAATGTCACCTGGTCCTTGTTACCCCATAGTCGTTTTAAAATAGTACAGACAGGGTGCAACCAGGTCCAATATCTTATTTTCAAATTTAAAAGAATTTTACGAAATAACAGCTACATTGCTCAACCAATTCAAAATATGAATTTCATGGGTACATTTTTTATAGAGACGATACTGTATACAACCTAGATCAAGTATTTCACACGAAATGTTCATCGGTAGAGTTGGAATAACTATTTATCTCTTATAAAATTGCTTTTTACTTCACTTCGCACTTAACTTACATTCTTATTTACTATTGTTTATTGTTTGCATCTTTGCCAGGGTAAAGACTTAGATAGTCCTTTTTACCCCACCCATATGTAAGCTTTTTTTAAAGATAATATAAAAAATGTTGAATCTAACTTAGAAATAACAAAACTGAAAAATTATATTCTATTAATTTGTAAACTGAATAACAGTACCCTGAACCAAAAAAAAAACTAATAACAATAGAAAATACTTTTGTTATGGATTTCTAAATATTGCCGTTTATCAACTAATAGCAACGTCGTAAGAATCGAGGTGATGGCTAGTTATACATTTTTTCCATTAAATATAGTTAATATTTATAATTAATGTATAATTTTTTTTAACTTTACTTGCTTTTGCAATATCGGTGTAGATAGAGTGCTGCTCTATCTTATATTAATGCAAATTTACATATATTACAAACAGCTTCTCTAGACTTCGGATCGGTTTTGAACTTGAATTGTATCTATGAATTAAAAATAACATGAATTAATCTCGTTTGTGAGAATAGTATATTTGCGTATGAGACACGTGCTGTATGAACTCTAAATTAAAATTACCGTCATGTAGATGATGATAACAATAAATTTGATAACATGATATTTTTGAAATATATATATCTGTAACTACTAGTACCACGTTTGCTTTAGTACAGATTACATTGGAGTATTGCTGACACTGACTGTTATTTATCGTGTTAATAAAATATAATTACATATTTATATGCAATGTAATATAGCTACAATACATATTTACTAATAATTTTTACTTCTAACTTTTTGTGACTTTCTGTTGAAAAGTGTTAAATTTTTGGACTACATTGACCATTTCTATGATTTTACAGATATTTTTAGTGACGAGCCGTTCAAATCTATTTGACTAAAATTGTATGTGGATTTTGAAGTCCATACTTGGAAATAAAGTCTGTTAAAAAAACCAAATGCAACAATGCCTCTATTTATCTAACATGTCTCTATTTGTTTTTTTAATTTTTACATCTAATTGAACTGAAAACAGTACAAGATAATTTTCAAATGGTAAAATGTATGATGACTTCCTGAGACATGCAATATGATATCCTCATTTAATTTATCAGTACTATAATCCTGCTGAATTATTTATTTTTTGTAGTTTTTTTTATTTTATTAAACGTTAAATTAAATTTTTAATCTTGAATTCATACTAGAAGAATAGATTTGAAAGAGAGACTTCATAAAGTTTTCATCACTTTTTATGTGTAATCAACCGATTTAATATATCAACCTTCTGTAATAATTAATGTCATTTTAACTAAATAAATTGATCAACGAAATCAAATATTCAATTATAATTTTTAAATCATTCATACAAGACTTGTCATTTTAATTTTAATTTTAGATTTGAATAATAAGTTGAAAAAAATCATGTATTATATTTACATGAATACAAAACACGTTTTTGCTGTTGTCATATAATATAAAGCATTATTCATCTAATTAAGACAATAATCTCATTGCAAACATGATTTAATCAGTGATGCTTTGCAAAACACAATTATCATAATTCGTATGTGATTTATTTCAAGTGATAAGATATAATTAAACAATGAACACAACTACTAGTTGAATTTTGAATAAACGATGAACAGTGATTAATTATTTGTAAAAAAAATTAAAAGGCGAAGTGGGTTTATATGTAAACGATGGCAAATTTTCCTGAAGGATTTATTGCTCCAGACGGAGGCTGGGGATGGATGGTGGTCATAGCATTTGCTGTAGCCAATGTGAGTAGAGTAAAAAATATAATAGAAATATTCAAATTTGAAACTAACATATTTTTTGTATTGGTACTTAAACATTAAAGATTAATCTATTGTTTTCACGTGTTTATAAAGTTGTGTCTATAAAGTATAAAATTGCCTTGGTTGCATTGCATAGAGGTGGCCATAGTGTGAATCACTAAAATAGATTGCAAACATGATCTGGCCCAAGAGCCAAACTGGAGATTCAGTAAATTCATTTATATTAATATAGAAAATAATGTATCAAACTATGCAAATATAACTTTAAAATGAACAATTATCAATGATTGATTAATATTTCATAAATCCACATACTACTTTCTTGAACTGGGTCAGTAGATTAAGTTATTAGATAATTTGATCCTCGAAATTTTCAATATTGGGCACGTCTTGTATAATGATTATAATTTATATTTCAAAGTATCTGAAATTATTTGAAAATAATTTGATTTTTTATTTGAAATTCAAATTATTTGAAAATAATTTGAAGTACGTATATCAAAAACACGAAATATGGAATTTATAATTCAAAGTAATTAAAATTATTTGAAGTACATATATTAAAACTACAAAATTCATCAAACGATGGCAAAAAATCTTACGAATGGTATAGGCAACAGTTGAAAAATCAAATAAACTTTAAACTAAATATTGAAACATTTAAAAATTTCTTTTTCCTATATGGTGCAAAAAGAACACATGTAATTGCTGTGTTTAAAAACACAAAAAGAGTGAATCACGTTTTTTTTTATCGAAAATGTAAAGATATGACCAAAATTCCTTGGCCATTATTTTCTGCGCATAAGATCTCTCCATTCTCTGAAATAATTACTTCATATCAATTATTTCCTAGAAAATGCTCAAAATAGATTTTCAGCTCTCACTAATGTTATTATTGTTTTATTATCGCAGACATCTAATATTTTTTACTCAAAAAAATAATTAGTCGATAAAAAGATTATACGTTATTAATCTTTTAATGATTATTGCATTAATCGACTTTAAAATAATATTGCACGTAGTTTTTAATTTACGTTTTAATTTAATACTAAAGATACCAATTGTACGATTTTATTATGGAAATTATATTTTTATATTTATAATTGCACCATGCACGTATTTTTCAATTTACGTGTTAATTTCAAAACTAAAGATACAAATTGGACGATTTTCTTATAGAAATTATATTTCTATATTTATAATTGCATGTGCAATTAAATGGTTTCACATCCTTAAGTAAACATCACCGAGATATATCCTTCAAAATAGAGTTATCTATCTGGGTAATACAGACACTTTAAATTAATTGATACTCAAAGTTTTTAAAAGAATCAGTCTGTAAAAATAGCATATCTACTGCAATATGTGTTTAACCTAACGTGATAAATAAAAATTTATATAACAAAATAAATTAATATATTTGTTTATATATACTAGAAACATGGAAGCAGAAAATCTGAAAGTAAAATATATGAAATAAAAAAGGGGAAGGCTGAACAGTAGTATTGAGATGAAGGGTATGGGAATCATTAATTTGTGGTGGCTCTCACACCATGAACCTGCCTTCGGGCAGACTATCATTTATTATTATTATTATACTAGAAACTAGGCCAATACTATCTGCAACTAAAATTATGAATATTGACGTAAAATGTCTCTTGACTAGTCTCTATATAGCTTTAGCAGCAGGCGATTTTTTCTTTTATTACAATCTAAACAATCATGAAGAAATTGTGGTTTACCTATACTTGTAGTTTATAGCCCCTTTTCAACGATATTATTATGAAAAAAAATTTGAAGTCAATGTTCTGAAGTTTGAACTTTCATGGTTATTGAGTATTTTATTCATCATTTTGGTCAAGTTTCTGGTAAGTCATCGTCTCCCGTCGATTTTATATTCTCGTCCTTACTGGTTTTCTCGACTTTAATTCTTGGAATGCACATTCATTTGCTTATCTTTTCTTCTCTTTCAATGGCAATGTTGTTAAAACAATATTCCATATTGTACAATTTCTCAATGTATTGTACGTACAAACTTGTTTCCGTCAGCGTACATATTTGTTTCTACTGAACAATACGAATTCTTTGCAAAAGATCATCAAATTTTGGAAGAAATAACAAAAGCAAAGTTGTACATCTGATATTTTTCCCATGAACTGATAACTTTCTGGTAATCAATAACTTTTTTTCATTTTGGTTTACTAGTTCTTAGGTTTTCCTGTCTTTCTTTTCTATCAAACCAATTTATTTAGTTATGGTATTTACCTGATTTCGGATGTTCTATCATCTAGTTGCACATAGGTTGGTCCTAGAGTTTTCCTTTGATTATGTGGGTTTCTTATCAATTTCCTTTTCCATTTCTTATGTAGGTTTGTAGCCTCATTACCTACACATTCTTAGATCAGTATTTTCAATCCTCCTACAGTCATCAAATTTATTTATTTATTTATTTTCTATGTTTCTATAACGATATCATCCGATATCAACGATTTGAAAATAGGCTAAATAGTAATTAAAATAGACTACTTGTAAATATTTTCTATGCGATGATCTTTATAATTCATTTCTCAAGATTTTGTCTCCATTTGATTTTTCAAAAAAAAAAAAGTTATGTACGTATATGATATATGTTTATCTTTATCAGCAATACAAAATAAAAATTGAATTGTTCATAAAATATAAAAAAAACTAAAACTTACATCCAATAAATCTTTACTGGGATTAAGTTAGAGAAATTAAGTTTTTTCTATTAGGGACCTGGAATAGGTCACAAACCTTTTTTTACTTATTTTTTACCCAATTTGAAACCTGATATTTAAAATGGAAAACGATGGGCACAACTTATCCCAATTAATGAACTATTATAGCAAAACCATATTATTGAATCATACGACTATATTTATGATTAAGTCAAAAATGATAATTATTGAAGTATGCAATTGATAACCTTTTTATCAATTCTCATTATTCACTTACAATTATAGATTTCATAATTATCAGTTAATTACCAGATTATAGATTCAAAATAGATATACGTTAAAACAACAAATATCTGTGATATCTTTAAACACCGCAAGATTTAGATTTAAATCAAAGCGAAGTGAATTCTGTTTTATATTTAAATTTATTTCATGAAATTATTCGAATGGTTTTTGAATCTTTGAAACGGTGTAGATGTTCTTAAGAAAACGTCGACGAAAGGTCAAAAATTGGATTATATACAAACACAAAATGACTTGAAAATCCGAGAAAACATAAATTTATCAAGTAGGATTTTCGGAAAGTTAACAAAAAATGTCAATAATCACGCAAACATATTTTGAAAATTCTAAAACCCATCGAATCAACCAAACAAAGAGATCGAGTTAATTTTTATAAAATTAGGCCTGTTCTATATTATATTAAAAAATAGTAAATATTTTTTCATAATTTCTATTCATTTCAGATGATAATAGTTCCACTAATCCGTGGATTTACGTTGATTTACAAAAGACACATTTGCTGCCATTGGAATGTCAACAACAAACGTATCTGTGATTTTAAATACAAACACGTCCTTTGGACTTTTATTAGGATTGATAAATGGGCCGCTTTTAAGGAAGTATGGTTTTAGGAAAATGGCCCTAATTGGTGGCGCTCTGTCTACGATTGGCATCATTTCAACAGCGCCAGCGAGAACCTTTGGTCATTTTTTTACTACATACAGTATTATAGCATGTGAGTATACTAATTAAATTTATACATACATGTATGTAAGTTCTTGAATTCGATGTTAAAAAATTAATTTTTGAACTTGAATAATTAATTTATTTCAGCAATTGGGTTCAGCCTTGCACTTGCATCATATTCCTTGGCGTTAAATACATATTTCAAGAAGAGGCGACATAGAGCTGCCGGAATCGCAATGACCATAACGGGTAAATTCTTAAAATCAGTATAATATTTATTTTTCCTTCCATATATAAATGCTTTTTTGGATAGCTAATATTATTTCCGTAGGATAAGTTATAGTAACCGCAAAAAAATCGAAACTGAAAATTTTCATATATCTTTACATTTCAAAGATTTCTGAATATTTTCGCATACCTTAGAAAAATGGATGTATGTGTATGTGTGTTCGGATACAAATTTTCGTCGACGATTTCGGGAATACCTATCAACCGATTTGAATAATTAAAAAAACATTCCATTCGTATTGATAAGGAGACGTGCTGATTAGTTTTTAGCGAAGGCAGGTCAAGTCGTTCCGAAGATACTAACTCAGTTTTTAAGAGAACGGAGCGTTCGATTTTAATAATTCAAAAAACATTTTTCTTGTATTGACAAAAAAAATTTGGGAAGGCAGGTCCAGCGGTTATAGACTCTCAATTAAAATAACTTAAAAAAGAGTCATTTGGCGGTTTATTGTACATCAAATTATCAGATATTTTACAGAGATTTTAATAATGTGTACACATTTTGTGTAAATTTTTTGGGTTCCGCACCAAGATTTTTAATTACGGTACGGGAAGTTCTAGCAATTTGCCTTAAGGCAAATGCCATGCACCCCACTAGTTTTTGGTTCTATTTTACTGCACTTGAAGTTATCGTTTCTTCAAAGAATAAAAATAATAAGTGCGATGTAATTTTAAAACTTAATCTAATCATCATACGAAGTAATCATATAAACTTTTTATCGAATATTTATTTCTATAAATAATTTTTTTGAACGCATAATAACACTAGTAAACGTTGAAATCTATTTTTAACCTTTTCTAAGAAATTATTTATTATTATTAGATAATAAAAAGAGCGTAAAAAAAATTAGTCAGTTAGATTTTCTCATTACCTCAATTGCCTCCACAAATATTTACATTAGTATGGAGAGAAATGTGATATATACAATTAAGCCTGATGTTAATTGAATATAAATTTCTACCCATGTATAATATTTCCTCCCTCAACAATGCACCATTGTTTACTTAATCTTTCTACTCGAAAAGCTTAGTGGAAAAAATATGAATTGCCTCTGACACTGTTATTGTGCATTTTTTTAATACAAAATTTAATCATCTTTTTTTATTTTCAGGTATTGGCCCAATTTTTGTCCCGCATATGATAACATATTTTGTCCAAAATTATGGTGCTTTAGGTTGCATGTTGATATTTGGAGCGATTGCGACTCACACATTTGCAACCGCTTTACTTTTGCAACCAGTTAAATGGCATATGAAGAAACATGATTCTTCTCAAAAAATTAAAGACTTTCCAAAAGATATTAAGCAGGATACTTTAAAAAATTGCGAGAAGAAACAGAAATTGTGTTCTGTTGTTATTACAAAGGAAGAGAATTCTAAAGAAGTTAACTGTGAGTTCTTTTTTAACAAAACAAGCCAAGAGATTATTCATTACACTAATTTTTGTAGATTATAAATAAAAAACTGACTAAAAATTTGATATTTATATGAAGCAATCTTATAAAAAAGGAAGTTATTTTGTAATCATTTATAGCAGAACCGAAAATGGTGGACAGTATTTGGGATGTATTTTTATCTGAAGAAGAACATGAGTATTTGGAGAAGAAAAAAAATAAAGCTCCAATAACGAGGGCAACGATGGATGGAGAGTTACAAATTGGAGATCAAAGTCTACACCCATCCCTAAGTGCAATTTCTAAAGAAAAAAGTCATTCTGTCACATTGACGAAACTTACAAGTCGTAAGATAATAATTTTTTATATTTTAAATTATGCAATTCAAAAATATACAAAACAAATTTTACCAAATTTGCCAATAATTGTGGTAAAATATTTTGATTAGTAAGATTAAGTTTCTAGGTTTGTAAAAATTATAATGTTTTTCCTAAATCCTGTCTGCATCAAATTTAATCTAAAATATTTCATTTTTTTTTTTTTCAGTATTGGAGAGTCAACCAGATATGGTACAAAGAAAGTATGCCAGCCAACCAATTATTTATAATGAAGATATAAAAAATTATGACGACCGAGAAAAATCGCATAGAATATCAGTCGTTATGGATTATTTAGGAGATGATAAACTGAACACATATAATGAATATGATGACAGAAATGAAACTGAAACAAGTAAATTAACCGGAGAAAATAAAATGTAAAGGTTTATTATTGAATCATATCAGAAGAGCGTCACAAAAAAGTTTACTTTAGTAATAGATAGTTTATTGTTTATTAAAAAAATATTGGCTATTCATTATTAGATCTGATATCTACCTATTTGATATATTTGCTAGATTAGAATCTGCTAATTTTTTTTCTGAATGTGAATTTAAGTAGCATTTTGCTATAATAAAATCAGTATCAAAACTTTGCTTATAAAATCTACAAAAAATTAATCGGTTATTTTGACACAAAAACTTTGATCAGCTTCAGCAATGCTTTAAGTGTGATAAGCACAAAGTACAAATAAGTGCTTGAGAATGTGATAAAACAAGATGATCAATCTAATGCAAATGATATATATATATATATATATATATATATATATATATATAAATATATTGACCTATATTGCCAAAAAATGTTTAATTTTTAGCATAATTGTTAATTATTTTCACATAATATTTTGATCAACAGACAAACAATTTGCATGGAGAATGGCACAGCAATAGTATCCAAAGATCAACTTAAAAATTCAGACAAAACAACATGCTGTGAACAATTTACTGAAAAAGTAGTTCAGTTTTTCGATTTGAAGCTGCTCGCAGATCCAACATATATTGTGATAATGATAGGAATTTCTACCTCAATTTTTTCGGAAATGAATTTTTCGATGCTGACTCCTTTTATTTTGGGCGATATGGGATTAACTCGACATGAAATTGCTTATGTCATGTCTGTGATTGCTATTTCTGATATTATTACCAGATTTATTTGTCCATTCATTGGAGACTACTTCAAACAGACGCCGAGGATGATGTTTATACATAGTCTTGTCATATTGATTTTGACTAGAACAGGTATATTTTTATCACGATTATATTAATATACTGGAATTTGATTAAATAAAATCATACCTTTATAAAATAATAATATGTAAAGCTCGGTCGTACTGATTTCTCATAATACATATAACATTTAAGATATATAACATTTAAGTACTTCATAGTTGAAAGGGTTTATTTGGCCAATACTGAAAATCCATATGGGAGTCAAAATGCTAGTGCTCGGCAATTCATTCAAACATTTTATTCAGTAATTTAATATTTATACATATATATTTTTAGGTCTTATATATTGTGATACTTATTACGAAATATTATTATGCGCTCTGGGTCTTGGAATATCCAAAGGAATTCGAGTAGTCTATACTGGTTTGATCATACCAGGTTATGTTTCTCTGGAAAGATTACCATGTGCATTAGGTTTACAAAATGTATCAAATGGTATATTTGTATTAGCATTTGGACCACTTCTAGGTAATCATAATTATAATAAAAAATTGAAATACAATACCATATTTTTATTATATTTTGTATTTTGTTATAGGTGTGATACGTGACTATTCTGGATCTTATACTAAAGTATTGATTTTTTTAAATACTGCAGTTCTTCTTATTATTGTGATATGGGGTATTGAGAGCCAATGGAAAGCATCCCGAACGAAAAAACTTTCCAAAAATGATATTGTTATACATGAATAAATTTTTTTACAAGTACATTAGTAGTATTCATTAATAACCGAATTGATTATGTAAAGTCATAAAAAACTGATTTTTAGGTCTCATTTATAAAGTTGTTACAAAAACGATCGATTTTTGTTATTTACAATTTGTTTTCTATTGAGCGCAATAGAAATATATTCAAACATTCAAAAAATAATTGGGAATTTTTTAAAATTAAGTCTATAAAGTATAAAGAAAATCAAAATTGACATTAGTTTTAAAAGATTTTTTTCTTGCACAAAGCTCTACTGACCACTGGTTAATAATAAATAACTTGCCTCTCTAAATACAATACTTGCTCAACTGCCAAAATGAATTAGATTTAGGCGCAATTTTTCTGGTATCGAAACGAAGATCGATGATATAAAAAGTTCTTGAAGTACTCAAGAAATTATCCACAAATAGTTTCTTACGGTATTTTTAATCTCACAATTTCCGTATTGAGTCATTTCATATTAATATTTTTTGTTAATATGGTAAATTAAACTTATTTGTTCAAAATAAAATAATTTATACATACGAGTTAAATGATCAAAATGTCCATAGTGTGAAATTAAATCTGTTATTGCTACCAACGTTTCCTTAAAACAAAAATAGTTATATGTGCTTTTACTATCACCAACCCATTATATTTCTTTGTGCCATTTTGTTAGGAGATAAATGCCATGGATCATGTATAGATAACAATGAAATTTTCAAATGCAAATATTCAACTTATAAGATGTTTGATCCTTGACCAAACACTATAACGTTTGATAAATAAATCAACAAATGGAAAATATCGAATTGAGTTATTTTCATGTATCCTTCAGCCTTTCTATTTAGAGTCGTTGACACTCATTTGTTGCATTTGAGCTTAATGGTCAGAGTTGAACAGGGTTGGCGGCACCATAAGCAAATATTTCAAATAAAAATCAGTACTGGAAAAGATAGATCAGGGCATGGATCACCAGGACTGAAGTAACAAAATATTAACAAGAAATCTGAACCTTGATTAGCAAAAGGGTGTGTTAAATTTATGAGACAGCTATAATAATATAAAAAACATATACACAAAGCTGAGAACATCAAAATAGAGCGTAAATGTGGTACAGGAAAACTATGCTGAAGATAAAATTGTCATACAAATTAAACCAATAAGAAAGTAAACTAGTAGTGTATGTGCTTTAAGGCAAATTGCTGGAACTTCCCGTACCGTAACAAAATGTTGGAGGAATATTAAAGGTTTTCAAATAGATTATTATAAAGACTGTAAGATTGTCCTAATTGTGATAAGAATTATATAAACTAAATTATTTTTGATATACAAAAAAAAATTGAATAAAAAAAATTCTTTTTTCAGAAGCAATTGTTTTGTCAACATAAGCAGAAAGTTTTTTGACTTATTCAAATCGGATCCTTAGTTCTCTTCAAAACTGCCATTTTTGTACATTTAGCTCTGTATCTTCCAAATAACAAACCTTCCTTTGCCAAAAGGAATCACCACTTCTCCCTCACAAATTGAATGTTTTTGGATCATTCAAATCGGATCTTACGTTCTCTCAAAAACTTGCTTTCTCTTTTCTGCACTCTTTGCTCCGTATCTCCGAAACGCCTGGACCTGCATTTGCCAAAAACTAATCAGCACATCTTTCTATCAATAGAACTCGGACAGCGGATATACAAAACACACACACACATCTATTTTTTTCTGAGATATGCAGATGTTCAGAAACTTCTGAAACGTGAAGATATGCAAAACAATTTATTTTCGATTTTTAGCCCATTACTATAACTCACCGAAGTTAACAATAAATGGTACAAAAATAACTTACATTGGATTCTCTATTACAAAAATCTTCGGGATTGGAACCATATTGAGAAAATAAATTTTGCGTACGAAATGTGCATTCTAAATATGGAAGAAAATGAGGATATGGAAAAAATAGAAGCATTTCAAATAAAAACCAGTAATGGTCAAGTGAGATCAGGGCAAGGATCACCAGGACAGAAGTGACTTTCACAAACGAGATACTAAAAAGAAATATGAACCTTGATTAGTAAAAAAATTGTTATATTTAGAACACAGCTATATGTTGGACATGAATTTGAAAGACAATTAACAGCGTGAACAAGAAATTGCATAAAATAGAACGATATTGGATCCCACTTTAAAAAGAACGAAATCAGGATTGGAAACATTGGAAAGTAAAGGGTTAGAAAGAAGAACGTGGATGATCGACATTTCATAAAAATAAAATATGAACAATATTTCAAAAAAAAAATGATGTATATACATGTGGTCAACCCTAGATCGTCGTCATGTCGCGTATGGAGCATGCGTGAATTCAAAACAGAAGCAGTGTTGTGGCGTGCGGCTTGCGAAGCATGTGCTTTGTTTTTTTATGAGAAAATTAATTTTCATTTATTAATAAACCATATAGACAAGTTCAACAGTATTCAATAGTACCATAATTTTTATACTCATTTATAAATATACTTAGTGCTGTGCTTATAGTGCCATTTCTAGTGTGTTAATTCACTACATATGAGTAATTCGTGCAAGAATAGTAATACAAAGTTCATTGTTTTCATTTTATTTTATGCATGATGCATTGTTAATGATGATAATTAGTATAATGTTATCAGAAACAAAGCGTTTTCAAAATAGATATGCATATCCACAAACTCTCAAAATAAATCTTATTATCGTTATAAGAATAACTATTTAACTATAGTTTAAATATTTAAAAAATTTCATATGAATGTTTCAAAGCATTTTTGTTGAACATCAGGGTGATTGATGTCAAAAGAAATTTTGAACGTTAACTGCATATATATATATATATATATATATATATATATATATATATATATATATACGTATATACACGTATATACACATATATATATATATATATATATATATATATAAATAATATGGTTCAAAATTTACATCATATAACTTTGTTTCCAAATATGTTTTTTATATAAATACAAATAAATGGTTCTTATACTTAATATTATCAAACAGATAACGCTCAAATTGATAACAAAGTATTTTTAAAATATTTTTTGTATCTACATGCTTGATTGGTTACCTGTAATACATAGATTATAATATCGTACGGCTTACATAATTGAAGAAAAATAGTTATAAATTCCCCTTATAAATAATTGATGTATAGAAAAAAACTACAAAAAGCAGGAAAACTATATTTTTCAACGCATTGCTTCTATTTTACTACTCTTATTTCGAAACTAAAACTCTAACTGTTTTTTCTAAAATATAGGTAAAATCAAGTTTTTTACTAGACTTCATAAAAATCATGGTCAATGTATTTCTTCACCGATGATAGTCAAATGTGCCATAAATATATTAATTTAATTTGCTGAATTTTTATGTGATATCACATATCAGTTATATTCTCCAGATAAATATTATTATCATTTCAATAATATTAATTACTTGAATCATATAGAACACACCTCAATCGAACTTAACCCTTTTCACTCGTATGAACTCGCTCCGGCGAAAGGGTTAACCTACCTTTTATGTAGATAGTTAATTCTATCTAAACAGTTCTGAAAACGATCGAATGATAAATTTTAACGAAAACAATTATAAAATTGTAAAAAAAAAATTAATTAAAAATGTAATGTATAAAATAAAATATGTGTAATAAATTAACATCAATATTATCACAATTACAGCAAGAAGTTGCTTCCGTCGAAACGCTGAACTATTTGTTCTCTATATATTGTTCATGCAAAACGATACTTTGCATTTTGAATTTGTTTACATAAAATACTCCAGATAACCCTAATAATTAACTACCAGGACATTATTAATAGATAATTCATAAATAAAATGATTAATTGTGTTCAATCTAATTAAAAACAAAGTGAATTTGTAAAATCATACAAAGCAAAGTTATCATAATATAAAACAAGTGTTTGTTTGAAGTGATTAAATAAAGAACAGTGTGAAAAATTAATTAATTCAACTACTTATTGAGCGTTTAGAAAACGCAATGATAGACAAAATTTAATTGTCGTTTAGTATATGAAGAATTCAAGTAAAATTATATATAAATTATGGCAGATTCCCAAGGATTTATTGCTCCCGATGGAGGCTGGGGATGGATGGTGGTCATAGCATTTGCTGTAGCCAATGTGAGTATTTGGTAAAAGAAAAGGAATATAAAATGCATTTCAATGTTATTTTCTGAACTTCAATTTTAAGAAACTTATTGTTTGTGTATTTCAATTATATAACAACAACATTTCCTCTTATCCCAATTACTTAATGATTT